AGAGCAGCTCACGTGCTTGTGTGTTGATACTCGGCTGTTTCACAAATGTGTGCCTTTATCAGGGTTTGGCTGCAGGCAGTTTCATTTTTTTTTTTTTTTTACTATTACTCTAAACTCCATAGAAGGCAGGGACAGACTGAAATACAAAATTATTTATCAACAAACTGTATTGTCACTGTAAGCTCGGTTACACTGTAATATGAGGATTTTCTATGTTTTATTTGATGGCTTATTGACATGTCGGTGTATTTTCGTGTGTCACGCTAAATGAGAAAGGGTAGACGTAAACACTGAAAACAACCGAGCAGACGGGGTGATTGAGATTGGGGAGCAGCTGCAGTCTAACAGGATCCCACCCGCTCCCATTATTTTGTCTGGAGGCTGTCCTTTTAATGGTTGTTATACTAAATGGCATCATCTGGGGAGTTTGAGATCGGACATAAACAGTATAAGAGCTAACGATCTGATATTGACTTCTTGATTGTGAGAATTTCCTCTAAGAACCTTTTTATCTACTACAGGAAAAAAAAAGGCCTATGCTGTACATTATTTAACAGTGACATGTGACTATTTAAAAATAAAAGAAACAAGCAAAGTACAAGACAGTATATATAATAAAACTTTAAATAGGAAAATACATTCTGAGGTAATTTCTGTGAAATTGTTTTGTAGAGAAAAGGTTTTAAGAATGTATTGTATCTTTATTTTGATTTGTCATTTTTTGCAAATAAAATTTTATGCCTATGTCTGGAAATATATTTTACATTTGTTTGGTCTACTTTGGGGAGTGGATTGGTTATTTCAGGTTATGTTTGACAATCTGAAATGAAGATAAAGTGACATACACGTTGTGCCTCATCTCGCCACATGGTGGTGCTCAAACTACATACACTAACACACAAGGGAGTTTGGAACGCATAAACTAACGAAATGTTCGTGAAAGTTTTTCTTAAAGGTGGGGTTATTTAGTTGTGAGAGGGGGGGGGAAATGATCAAATTAATTAAAATCCACTAACTACAGATGTTAGGCTACTCCTGAGACTAGTATGGAAAAAAAGTACAAAATCCTACATTCACCACACAGCAAATATGTTTTCACTATAGCAGTCAGATGAATGTTAAATCAATTTATCATAAGACCAGTGCAGTGGAAAATAATTAAACGTGTGTTTATTCAGAGTTTACATGATTTTGGACTTCATTTAACGTTTGTGGATTTGCTCATACTCCCTGAGTTTGCAGATTTGTTTTGTGTGGCGTGGAGAGACCATGAGGTAAGACTTATTAGTCATTGTGCCTGCAGGCTGGTTGAGACAGGAGTTAACGTCTTCTGATCAACTCTCACGAGACGTTTTAATTAACAGCAACAGTACGTGCTGGTGTTATTATGACTGAACAGCTTACACCTCCCAGTTCCCCTGACTGAATGACTCACAGACTGTATAGTCCGTAGATATGTAATGTGTGTAAATCATTTTAAATACAGTGTTCATACCTCTGGAAACTTTTCACATGTTACAACAAGCTTGAGATTGAACCCGTGCCTCAATCTCAAGTCTTTTGCAGCGTCTGATGGGTTTTCTTTCAGGGTTTCTTGATATTAAGCTCTTAACCAATTTTTCCATCAGCTCTTGGCATTTTTTCTGTCTTTGCTGAAGAAAAGCATCCCCACAGCAAGATGCTGCCAGCAACATGTTTCACTGTGGTGGGATGGTGTTTTCTGATTGATGTGGAGTGTCAGTTACTGCTGTACTGACCAGTGTTCTGTGAGTTGTTTCAGTCATAGAACAATAAGAGATATTGTTTTAAAACCTAGCTTTGTTTTAAACATCAGAGTAACGTGTTCCAACACTTGGTGTGCTCCTTGATGCAGTTTGTTCACTAACGTTCCCCAATACATCTCCGTGGTCTGTGTAGAAAATCTGTTTGAATGGGGAAATTTCTGAAAGCAGTTATCTGCATTTTATTTGAGGGTGTCAGAGTAAAGGAAGCAGGTTATAACGTGAGGTTAAACTTTTCCTTCCACTTCACATTTATGCACTATGTTGCGTAGATGTTTCTAATAAAATTCCCCAACATACATTAAAGTTTATAGTTTTAACATGACAAGATATGAGAAGAAGCAAGAGGCATAAATATTTCCTTACAACACTGTGCAGCGATGCTTTTTCCCAGTATGTTTAAGCTTGTATATTTGTAAGAAATACAATTTAGACATCTCTGACATAAACCCATTATGTAATACAGTTGGACCTTGTCCCGGTGGTGACACACCCTGCTTTGCTGTGTGACTGGGTGCAGTGTGATTAGAAACGGTTCATCTTAACTTTCATCAACATGTTTTCTTCATTTTCACTTAAGCATTTCAAACTGTTTAACCAATTCTAGATTAGTTTTCATAAGAGATTTTCACAATTTTTGTTGCTAAAAAAAAAAAAAAAGGTTTAAGGGGTATTGCCTCCAACGAGCTGATAAAGAAGAAGTACTATGTCAAGAATAAATGCAGACTTTTTTAGGGGAAACAGAAAGAGAAGCATTTACATATGTGTGTTTAAGCTATTAAAACCCCTTCCCATTGAGTATAAGCGTTTAAATGCTCTTTCAGTGAAAATCCTAAGCCTCTATAAATCAGAATAAACAAATAACCAACTTTTCATATCCCCAGGCTTTACATAGGCAGTTTCTACCACAGTCTGGACAGATGTTAGATGTATCAGTTTCAAGTGACTAAACAGCAGAATCCCCCCCAGACACACAATATGGTACAAGTACAAACCACTGATTTATTGATACCAACAGAAATGTTTAGAGCTCAAACAAATTTATTTATTCATAAGACAAATATATGAGAAAAATAAAAGTTATTTGTTTTTACAAATGACTCCACAACTCTCCATCATTAGCCTGGCGTCCCTAAGAAAAGTTAAATTTGTAGCAGACATGTTGATACATACAAGTTGTAAAAGTTATGGAAAACCTGAATACATTTATTAACATATGAAATTTATATGAATAGAGTCACAATATTAAGTTCATTTAAATAGTTGAGTTGATCTCTGAGGCTGGAAGACATTTTAGACACCATAACTCTGTACATAAACCAGCGAGGGACAGCACTTTTTTTTTCCTCCATGGCTTTCAAACGTGGTTTGGATTTCTGGTTAATATCTTGAGCACATGCTTGTCACTTTTGTTATAATTTCTAACATACTACAGTGCAATATACTACAGATTGAAATGCAATAGAAAAGTAAGTTGTTGTTGAGATTCACAATCAAAAGTTAAACTGTCATAAGTTATTTTTCCACTGTTGTGCATTTTTTATACTTCTGCTTCTACAGTCGTGTGGACAACTAGTTTCCCCAAATTCTTTGAATTTATGTATTATTTAAATGAGGAAACAGCAGGAAATGTAAATAATATTTGACAGATAATTTGAAATAAAACATATAATGCAAGGCTTTTTTTTTTCTTTAAAAAATGTCATTGTCTTAAGTCTATTTTAGTGACAACATGCAACATTGCAAAAAACTAGTACGTGCACAATAAGAAAGGGACGCGGTCCTCTACCTTTAAACCTTTTAAACTTCTACTGTGATTGCAGCATTATAGACGTCTCTAATTATGGGAATTAATGCATTTACAGTACAGGTACGTTCAGCCAGTACTACAGTCAAATTTGGAGTTGTTTGGTTGGCTGTTTGGTTGGTTAGCCATGTCCTGATTGGTAGATAATGTCCTACTGTGTTGTCACTCAGCTGCAGCCCCGCCCTCCGACACATCTGTAGTTAGTTGTTGAGCCTCCTGCTGATGAGTGTGCGTGAGGCGCCGATGTGGAAGGAGAGAGGACCAGTTAACCGGCTTTTTAAATGGTCTTTTACAATCATTTTCAGACTGCCGAGCAGCTATACTGAACTTTTTTAAATCTATGAAACCGAGTCTGGCAATATTAACAGCGGTAGCACGGTCTGTCGAGTTTCAAAAGACTGTTCTACTTTGGGGAAAGTTTAAAGCCCCCACAGACAGAGTTCGGCGGAAAGGTAAGACGGGTTCTCTTCAACTTTTCCCAGCTGGTTGTAATTGTGACTGTTTGATAGAGTTCGTAGCAACACATTTTCTCTTCTGCTCCTTACAGTCAGCATGTCAGGGATGCATTGCGTTGTGTAAACCAGTTTAACCAGCTTTGCGGGAAGTTTCGACGGCCGCTGTGATTAATTTCCTCACTCCTACGAAGTGTGACATTCGATTCCCAACAATGGCAGGTCTGAGCAAGGTCCACATGAAAACCCTAGAGGACCTGACGCTAGACTCGGGATATGGGGCGGGGGACTCCTGCAAGTCCCTCAGCCTGTCCTCCTCCAAGTCAAATTCCCAGGCCTTTATGACGACCCCTCACCGGGGGAACTGGTGGTATTACTCTGGCTCTATGAACAGCAGGAACAACAGCTGGGACACTGTCAATACTGTCCTCCCCGAAGACCCGGAGGACATCTTCTCCAAGTGCCACCGCTTACCTGAGCTGGAGGAGTTCCCTTGGACCGAGGAGGAAGTGGCCAGGATACTGCGCAAAGTGGCCGAGAGTGGTGGGAGTGCCAAGTCGGGATCTGCCTCTGTTTTCTCCCAGGAAGCGGTGCGACGCCTGTCCGCTCTCCTCCGTAGGGCTCTCATCCGCATCTCCAGAGAGGCCCAGCGGCTCAGCGTCATGCACTGTCGGTGTACGCGTTTCGAGGTGCAAAGCGCCATGAGGCTGGTGCTCAGCTGGGCCCTGGCGGATCATTGCGTCTCCGCCACCGTCAAGGCCATCTCCATGTACTGCATGAGCGCAGGTGAACTGCTGAGGAAGGGCAAGTCTGCCCGCTGCGGCCTCTCCTTCTCCGTGGGGCGGTTCTTCCGTTGGATGGTGGACACTCGCATCTCCGTCCGCATCCACGAGTACGCGGCAATCAGCCTGACTGCGTGCATGGAGGCTCTGGTGGAGGAGATAGGGCTCCGGGTGCTGATGGCCGAAAGAGGTCATTCGGGCGCGGATTCGGGGTCAGGATGTGCCCCAGTGACTGCAGAGGCCTTGGAGGCGGTTGTGAACAATGATGCCGAGCTGTGGGGAGTCCTGCAACATTATGAGCACCTGATCTGCGGAAAGAATGCCAATGGTAAGCGAATTTTAAACTACATTGTTTGTGTTTTACACCCAGAGCAGGTCTGAAGTATGCTGCCTTCAAAAGCACATCTCAAAATATTTATATAATATGTTACATAATCAACAAGGGAATTTATTTAAGTAATTCAATCTAAAATGTAAATCTAATTCATTTTACTTTTTTTTGTTTGTTTTAAAAAAAAAATAAAGTTTTCAAAAACAAATCTGAATACTATGTAAGGCCAATGAAAACAGACTTTGATTCTCAAAAATGTTTTGTGATGCCCTTTTTAAGGACATCCACAGTACTTATCAACTTATCAATAGGGTTATAAATTCGGGTCATTTTGATCCTGCTTCTGTTTGAAGTGGGGATACATTTTCACTCTGTTTTTAAGTAAACAGGTGTTAATTTTTCACCATGTGGTTACAAACAATACTATTAAACTTTAATACTTTCTTAACATCAAAAAGTCTGGTGTACTTGTAATGGGCTTGTCTGGAATTGAGCCCAAAATAGTTACTTGTACAACCCTGGGCTCATTATGTTTACATATTCCTCTGACTTGTTTTGCTGTGTGTTCATGCATGAGAAAACTTCATCAGAAAGTTTTTGCTCTGCCATAAAGTCTCCCTCCTGTGTGCTGGTTACAGCTCTCCACTCTGGCACAGCCCGTGTGTGGAAAAGGTGAAGTGTAACCTCCTGCTGCATACAATAGCTGCTCTTTGTGAATGAACGCCTGATGGATTTGTTCCTAATTTGACTTGTCAGAATAGGAAAACAACGGTTCAGGCATATGTGAAGAACAAAGAAAGTATTTTCCCTCTCAGCAGCTTCCCATAGAGAAAAGACAACTGTATTCTGCTTTAGGCAGCCAAATTTGCCCCTAATTAATTTCAGAAATGGAGAAGTCACAAGTCATCTGAAACCCAGGCAAGATACTGGTTTGTTGCCACAGCCTCGGGTTTACTTCTCTATCCTTAACTGACAGTGTTCACATCACTGTTTCAAAGTTTAAAGTTTCATCCTGTGCATCTTTCCTTCACTTGCATTAATTGGTGTCCACCCTCACAGATCTTAGATTTTTCTTATACCTCTTTATTCCAGCTCCAGCTGTGCATCCTGCTTTCTGGTCATCAATTTCCTGCACCCTCCCATTGAAATCCTTTCCTCAAAAATCCAAATGTTCCAATTCAAGAATCCACAGAGCACAATTTCCATGACTGTGTTGGTAGTCCAGCGATGAGTTGATTCATGAGCTAGCACTGGGACAATGTAACAACCCTTTGTTTGTGGCCTACTACCAGCTCCCCGGAGCAGAGCTCTTTATTGTGGTACAATGGTCTTTTTGTTGTGAGATCATGCAGCTTAACCCAATACAGAGGGATTGAAAACAAATGCTGGGGAGGCGCATCCCCCAGTGTGCATTATAGACAAATGAGAGGGAGAAACAGAGGGGTACATATAGCAGTCAAAAGTTCTGCTTTGAGGAAAGTTTTTATTATGAAGTAGCATCATTTAATGCAAATATAGTGCACATATAAAGCAAAGACTTGCATTGACTTCCAGCTAAATTCAGCCAGCATTTAACTAAATATACGTGCTTGCACAGTTCCTCACTGGTTTCTTAAATTTCCGATCCTGTTCAGCTTCCAGTGGCTTTAACTACCCCATTAGGTATTCATCTGCAATGTACTGGACTTGACGGTTGCCACATGCTCAAGTTGGCGCTACATCATTGAAAAAAATAGGTCCATTATTGAAACAGATGTCTTTTGCTTGAGTTTTCTAAGTGAACTATTTTGGTGAGTTCAGGTTTTTGAGGGGGGGGGGAAAGAACATCTGTGTGCATGTGTGAGTAATAACAACACACTATTCTTCTGACCACCCTGGCTATTTATAGAATCGATACTGACCGTGAAAGCCACATACCACTCTACCACCTTACCACCTGTAACTCCACACAACTGAAAGTATATACAGTTGGTGACCCTACTCGCCTCCCCACAACTACCACCACCAAAAAAGTAAAGACCCATGCAATGCAGATTAGAAGAAATAGAATACAGCTCCATCTATTAAATCTCCTCGATTTCACTTAATTTCTTTTTGTCTGTCTTTTTTTTTTTTAATTTAATGCTAGTCCTACATCTGGAACTGTTTAAGTCAGAAATGACTTCAACGGCTCCAAAAACAAAACTTTCTCCTTTCCTCTCTCCCCTCCCCTTGTCTTGCCCTCTCAGACTAAGTCCCACTTATTTCTCTCACCTCTGGCACCATCCCCCCCACCCCACTCTTTTTCTTTTTTTTTTCCCCCTTTACCATTGAATTTACATTTGCTTCATCTTTATCTGTTTACTTCTTCTGGTCTACTGAGAGTGCATTAGAAGAACTCTGTTGCGATGTGCCAGGATCTCATTCATTACTCGTGCACATACTCATCCGCCCATGAGCTTTGACATGCACGTACATGCTCCTGAAACCAATTTAGCCTTGATTTGCATGTGTTCAAATGGCTCCAAAGTACTGGTTGGATCCTCTAAACAATACCACTATAAAGAAAATCTGTTCCATCACTCTTTTATTCACACAAGAAAACGAGTAAACTCTTCCCTGTACAATTTGTTCTGTTTGTACTGTAGAACATTTTTAAGTGCAGAGTAGAAGCTTTGCTAATGGACAGTGGAAGTAGTTATTCAATCATTCATTCTTTATGAATGTCACGCAGATGTCTTTCAAGCTCTGGTCTGGATGTTTGCACAATTTTCCAGTTGTAGTCTTGTTTGAGTACTCGTCAGCTTGTATTAAAATTCACTCCGACCATTTTCCATCCTCCTTTTGAGACTAGTAAAGTAATCGGAAAGAATTTTGATATGTAAACTATCACATATGAGCCCATTGGCCACCAACAGCTACTTTTAACTTGCATTTATCCAACTTTTGCTTTTTGCTCTCACTTTTTTTTGTCATGAATGGCCATGGTGTTATGCTTGAGCTTAGCATTCCAGATGAGTACTCTTCAGCTGATTTTAGCTATGTTCTCAGCTTGTACTTCTTTTTTTGCTATGTAGCTTGTTTATGTACATGTGCACTAGGTTGGAAATTAATACAGCTGCTGTAAGCAACTAAACTTGAGACAATTGAAAATGGGATGTTATTAAAATAGTAGTGTTCTTTAAATGTAATTATGCAACTACATAGTTAGATTCATGTAGTTCGAGTTTAAAACGTAAGTAAAATTTTGTAAGAACTTGAGTTTTTTGCTCCAAAATGCAATTTTCAGTTGCTTTTTTAAAGGTGGCTTAGAGTGCACTGAAAAAGGGGGGAAAAACATATGATTTGCTGCTCAGTATTTCCCTAAATATGTAGTTAGTCCAGAAAGGGGCGTGGGAACCGTGGGCAGAAGGATGCAATGAAAGCAGCCCAGAACTGTGGTCACACAGATGGGGAAAGCAGCACTCTGAAAATACACTCCCTGTTTCACAAACCTGGAGGCTGATCAAATTCAGATTGGGGGTAATGTATGTGGAAATTACTTTTAATGGAGAAATCTTGAGAATATACACCGTGTAAATCTTCATAGATTTTACCAACTCGGCATTTTGCCTGATTTACAATGACACGGAGTAAACTCCCTGTACGGGACAGTGTTCAAAGCCAAAAAACGTGTCTGGCTTTAGTGAATAATAAAGGATAATCCTTCGCTAGACAGTACAATTTGTTTGTGGTTGAACGTGTGTCAGCTTTATGTTAGGGTGGCTGGTTCACCCCAGGCTATTCCCATTCATAGAGATGGTCCATGTCACTGTTTTCACTGGGTTCTTGTCTGGTGCCAGCTGTAAAAACACTGCCCCATTAGGTCAGTGGTGTGCACGTGTGTTTGAATGCACTCGTCTCTGTGAGCTTAGGTTTGCTTTTGTGGGCACCAGTCATTCTTGTAAAACCATGAGTAATGGTTTCACAGATATGACACCACAAAGTATTTGTCTGGTTTTTACCCACTAATACAGGTTGCAAAGGCTGTGACATTTAAAAATACCAAACCTATATTCATTTTAACTTTTCCCATCTGTAGACGTTTTAATATTTGATTCAGTTTTGATATATAAGATATAGTTTAACTTTCAGCAAAGCCGGTTGTATCATTACACCACCATGAGTCATGCTGCTTAAGAATAATCCACTGATGTGGAGGAACACAGCTGAGAGTAACAGATGTTCAAGAAAAAGACGTATTGAACAGAGATCAGGACATGAAGTAAACCATACACATGCACATTTAAAGTCACTGTCCAGTGGGTACAAAATCTGTGCCCACAGAAAACTGAAGAAGCATGATTGACTTCAAACTTCCCTGCTTGTTTTCCCTAGAAAATGTTTCTTAGGTGTGGCACATTGATTGCTACAGAGCTGTGATTGTTGTTTAAGGAAATCTGATTGACATGGTGGGTTGCGGCCCAATTAGCTAATGTGGGAAGCAAAAGGCCTGACTGAAGGATGGCTGAGTGCATTGCTTTAATGATTGCAGTAATTTAAAGGAGTCACAGCAAACCCCACCATCCAAGGATGTTTAGAGACCAAACTGTCTACTGTTATCAGATGTCATATGATCAATGATTGACACTCTAGCTATCGGACTAACTTACTACTCTTTATAGAAAGGGTTATGCTAATTTCTATTCTATAGTTATATAATTATAGTTATATAACTATAGAATATATATATATATAGAACTATATATTATAACAAATGTATATTTGTTGCATATGATAAACATTATGTACTTGTACACACAGTTGAGGTGACCACCATGCTAGTTTTTTTAGATAGTTCCAACTTAAAATGGAAAGGGTGAAATCAGAATAGCTGTTGACTTTAGAGATGGAAAATGTTGTCTAAACTAGGTAACCTGGATATATTTTCTTTAAAGCTATGGATCATAAGTTGTACAAGAAGTACCATTAGTGGTAAACATTTAGTATTCATCATATAAAGAAGCAAATTTGAATAAGTTAACTGGAGAGCTGGTAAGCATGAACATCGCAAAAAATGAGTCATCCATGCACATGCATTTTTCTTTTTATTAGGAAGTTATCAAAAGAATTCTGTTTCTCATATGGATAAGTCAAATAGCATTTGGAAATCAGGTTTTAGCATTTTTGCAGAAGTTGTTCTTGTTAAACAGAATTTGAAAACCCCCATTGTATGAATAAAGGCAACCCTGAGTATCTACGAGCCAAAGCATAGTCATTATATTCTGAGAGTCTTAAATGTGTCATTCAGAAAATCTCTGCACCCAGACTAATGAAGTATTGTTAACTTACATTTCCCAGGATCTTTTAGATATCCAAACATAACCCTTCAAATGTGCTAATTCTGACAAGGATGTCTTTTTTTTCCGCCAAACACCTGTTACACACCTTTATCTCATTAACAGTATTTTTTTTCTGATTATTTTAATTTATTTCTACTTTCTGTCAACAGACCCTGTGTTCTTAGTTGCAGTTTTAAATCTGCGGTGTAATGGCTATAACACATTACAGCTATTACTATTCTATTTCAATGTTTGAAACATCATGAGCTATAAAACAAAGATGTTATCCTGAGGAAGTTGTGAAAACCTTTATGATGGCACAATAAACTGAAATAATGTAATTACTGATCTGCAGAGCCAAAGCTGAGAAAACATTTTACTTTAGAATGAGCCAAACACACCCTTATTAACATCTTGCTACAATTACCTTAGTTTGCATGTTAATATTTTAAATATAAAGGAAAAATAGGGGAGCAATTTATATTTAACAAACAAGACTTTGTCCTTTAGAACCTATAAATGCTTAACAGGTGTTTATTAAAAGGTGATTGAGTCTCAGTTTTCTCTTTCACATAGTTTAACAAAGACCCTGGTTATACATTTGGACTGGGCATTCATCACTTTTAACATCTACCCCCTAATTACCATATTGGAGGCAGCATGCGCTACAGAAAACAATAAATGTTCTCAACATGCCCTACAATGGCTGCAGTTTTTGTAAGAAAACATCTGGCAACGGCCTCAACCCTCTCAAAGTTTATTTAGAGATGGTTAGATAAAGTTGCATGATTTGACAAAAAGGAGAAACAAACAATGCTGCATTTAGTCTTTTCTTCTAAAGAGCTCACTGATCTCATGAATGGTAAACTGAGGTCTTTGTAATGTGGTCTTCATAACCCGCCAAAATAAATTTGTTCCCTGGTGTGTTTTATGAGGATAAAATATACCAATCATCACTGTTCGGGGTATTTAAAGAATTATACATCTACTTGCACTGCTTTCACTAACTTAAGAAACCTGTTTTTGCTAGTTTTGAAGCATTTTCTGGGTGATTTGGAGGTAAAGTTGAATTGCTGATTATTTCAGACAGCGAGGTGCTGCTGGGTGTCTGTGATAAGGAGAGAAAGCTCAGATGAGTGTCAGGGATTGTGTGGAACCAGATTGTGTAACTAAGGATTGGACATAATAACCCCTTGCTGTGCTCTTTGGAGAAATTTATTTGAGTCTGACTCAGGTCAGTCTGAGCCAAATCTTTTCTGCTGAAGAGGAGCCTCTCGATGGAGAATTGCTGCACTAAATGCATATGTAGCAAGAGAACTGCTTCAATTGCTTTAGTATGTATCAAAGGAAAAACAAATGCACCTTCTGAATGTTTTAGTCAAACTAGAAAAGTATATTTACTCCCTATTTTTTTAAAAGGCAGAAATGTTATAAGCTCACACATTTAATGTACACAACTAACTGAGCTTTGCTAAAGTTGATGTGGAGTATTTGGTCACGCTAACAAGTCTGGATTTTCTGTGACTTTCTTAGTCTCACTCACTGAAAGACAAACTATTTTGACTGTTATATGCTTCTTTATATTTTACTTTCCTCGGGAATTTAAGGTTTGCTTGTTAAATAAATAACTTTACGTTGTTAAATGCAAAGCACCAAGTGCATTCAGTTTATTTTTGTTTACATATTCTAAATTACAACTTTAAAATGCCTTTGCATGTCTAAATGCAAATCTGCTGATACCTTGTGGACACGCATACACCTCTCTTCAGACTATTTTATCTTAAGGACTGTGTTCTAATGGAGATGGTTTTCACAGAAGC